GCTGGTGGGGAGGGCAGTTGGGGTGATCAGGCCAGCAGGGGGGGCGCAGTTAGGGGTGATCAGGCCAGAAGGGGGGGCAGTTGGGGGAGATCAGGCCAGCAGGCAGAGTGGTTAGGGGCAATCAGGCAGGCAGGCAGGTGAGCAGTTAGGAGCCAGCGGTCCCCGATTGTGAGAGGGATGTCCAACTGCCAGTGCAGGATCGGGCCTAAACCGGCAGTCAGACACCCCCCGAGGGTCCCAGATTGGAGAGGGTACAGACTGGGCTAAGGGACCCCCCACCTCCATGCACGAATTTCGTGCACCAGGCCACTAGTTTTCTTATATTAGGTGAAGAAAGCTTCTACAAGAGGGATGAATTGTTCTAGTAAAGCTGCTTTTCTGTTAATATATCCCCCATTCAACCTCTTGGCCTATACATTACTGCATTTTACATTACTTCATTACTGTACATTTTGTTATTGATTTTGATTAAATCCATTTGGAAGTCAATATTCACAACAGTAAAAACAGAGGGTATGCCTGACTATTACATGCAGTACATTTATCCTTCTTCAGCCTACCCCTGAATGTGTGTTAAAGATCTGAAAGTCTCTTCTGCCTCTTCGGTAAATCTCATCATGAGGTGCTTCCAAAGCGAGAAATTATATCCAGCCTATGACTTATTGGGGCCTTCCAAGCATGTAGAGCTGGAAGATGGTCAGTGTTTATAAGGCTTTAAAAGCACTCCTCAGCCTCAAACTGTCCCTATCACCAGCCAATCCTGTCACCAGCTGGCTGAGTTTCAGTTTATTATTTATTATGTGCTGGGAGCACACTGTGTCTGTGAGAAAACCCCTTTACTGTCCTTGCTCCTCCTAAGGCAGAGGGAGGCTTCAGTAGCCACAGGGAAAGCAGCACCTTTGCTATTGGCATTAGCTTCCAAGGGAAGAGGTACAGGGCCAAGGAATGCAGCCGGCTGCGATCAGTCAGCTGTGATGCAGAGAGTAACTCATCAATAGTGAAAATAGCCGATCAGCTGAAAACGGGCTTCCAACGCTTCAGAACTGTCACCTGCCAGCTGAACAGCCACCATCCACTGTTGCTGAAAAGAGCAAAGATCGAGCCTCACTCACAAGGGCTCTTAAAAGCTGCAAATGATTATCTCCCCACCCCTGCCCCCATATTTCTGGTTCAACCTCTGGCCATTCTGTAATAGATAATTGTGTAATAGTTTCTCAAATATGGAAAACAAATACCCCTCCTAAAAATATCATCACATTTTAATTAAAAGTTTTGATATCTGAAAACAATTGATATCTGGTTCATTCCAGAATTTTGTACTAATTTTTATTTTAAAAATATCAAATTATTTATAAAAATATCAAATATTTATCTTGATTATAATATTTTTGGTGTCTCTTTAAATTTTGCACCTGAGGTGAGTGCCTCACTTACCTGACCCTAGTCCAGCCGTGGGCAAACTATGCCGCGGGCCGCCCTTTTATGTAATGATGTTTATTTTGAATTTATATTAGTTCACACAAACACTCCATCCATGCTTTTGTTCCGGCCCTCCGGTCCAGTTTAAGAACCCATTGTGGCCCTCGAGTCAAAAAGTTTGCCCACCCCTGCCCTAGTCCCAGCCCTGTTAATTAAGCAACACCACTTGCTCACAGCATCACAGCGAGACAGATACTGTAACTATTTTATAGATCATTAGAGGCCCTGTGCACGAAATTCATGCATGGGTAGGGTCCCTAGACCTAGTCGGCGATCAGGACCTTCCTTCCCCCTGCTGCCGGCCCTGGACCTGGTCGGCAATCAGGGCCGATCAGGGCCTTCCTTCCCCATGCTGCCGGCCCTGGACTTCCTTCATTCCATGCTGCCCCCTGGTGGTCAGTGCACATCATAGCAAGCAGTCAAACTCCTGGTCAGTCAAACTCCCGAGGAGACAATTTGTATATTAGCCTTTTATAATGTAGGATAATCTGAGGCTGATGAAGGTTAAAAGTCATGTCTAAGAAAGGTTATGGCTGAAATGGGTCTAGAACTCTGGTTTTCTGAATCCTGTTCTGGTATTCTTTTCATTTTGGAAATTCCAGGCCATCCTAGTTACACACAAATGAATGTTAACCATTATTACAATTAACATGCATACAGTATAACACTTTATATATAAAGCACATGTGCACACTTAATTCTCGTGGCAATCTATATATGGTACCATAATATGACCTGTTAATAAAAAAAAATAATTAGAGGGGGCACAGAAATAAAATAACTTGACCAAGATCTCATAGAAAATAAATGGTAGAATATGGACACAAACCCAGGTTTTCTGAGTTTCAATATTATGCCCTTTTAAAATGGGCAGAGGAAGATATTTTTTTAAACAAAACACAAAAGCTGTTGAATAAAAAATAAAATATTTATAAAAATGACCAAATTAAAATTAACATCTTAGTAAATGAACCCTAAAACAATAATTACAAATGAGGAGAGTTACAAATGGGGAAAATATTTCCAATGTATATAACTACAAGAAACTGGTATGAAGAAGATGTAAAGAAACAAATGAATAAGCAAAATGAGTAACAGATAAATGGACGAAAGTATAAATAAATGTATGAAGAGACGTTTAGCATCATTTATTATCAGGGAAATGAAAATTAAATCCATGGTGAGATTCCATTTTATACTCACGTAGTGTGCAAAATATTCACATGCCAACATGCCAAGTGTTAGGAAATGGGTTCACATTAATGTTCATACAGTGCTGCTGGGAGTGAAATATGGTACAGCCATCTTGGAAAGCAGTTTGCCATTGGCTCCTAAAACTGATCTATATGTACCTATGACCCAGCAATTCCACTTTTAGGTATAGTCCCAAGATAAACTCTTGTACTTGCATAACAGGGTCATGTACACAAATTATATATATACACACATAGAGAGAGGAGAATTTTGGGGAATTATTTATTATCTTACTTAACAATTGTTTGTTGGGCATCCACTATAGATCAGGCTCTGTTACATCTTTTTAAATGATAAAAATGAACAAAATACAGATTCTGCTATTATGAATATGCTGTACAGTCAGATACATGTAAACAATACTTGTAGTACAATTTGGTCTTTTCATAGAGTAATAAGCAAAGTGCTTTGAAAGCCCAGAAGAGGGAGGAACTAATTCTAGAAGAGAGAACTTTTGAGCAGGTGTTTGAATCTAGAAGAAACAAACTATATGGAACCAATGTGGTGGCCCACAGCTCTACTGCAAAGGTTTTGAACTTGGCCTGAAATGCTGGCTAGGGCTGGATGATGAACAGGATGGGTAGTCCAAGTCTGGGAGAGCAGGATGAGGCACAGAGAATAGTGGGATCATCGACACACAGCTGAATGGAGAAAAAAAAACAGAACCGAGGGAGTAGTGATTGGATGGGTTTTATTCAACAAGACTACAGGCCTTGGATGAGGAGGACTCATGACTTGATGTGAGAAAGAGAACACAGAACTTTAGGCTTCTGAACAAAGGGCACAACATAAAGGAGGCTTGTTTTAAGGTCTTTGCTGGTGAGTGGCTTCCTTCAGGAGATCTTCCTGCTCTGGACATTGGCTAAGCTAAATGGGAGTCAGTCATCATGGTTTTGCTTGGCTACATGTGGGAGGAGGAATGGTGACTATCTCCAATCACAGCCAAGGCCGGCTTTCTCTCTACAGCACATGCTGGGTTTGGAGAAAGGTTAGCCCAGTTTGCAGAAGGCAGAATTGGGTGGAAGAAAGAACACCAGAGTTCAGGTTCCAGAAAAGAAGAGAGGCTTTAAGCCCTCAAAAATGACAGACCATAAAATAGAGCAGATGAAGGAGAGGTAGAGGAGCACAAAGGTCATCACTGTGGGAAGTGGCTGCTTAATAATAATTACAGCACTCAATTAATACCTTATACTTGCAGAACACTTTTGACACCTTATCACTAAAAACTGATTTCACTCTTGAGGGTTAATTTCACAGATGCTGAACCTGATTTTGATCTGATAGCTGGATTCAAAAGAGAAGATTGGGCAGGCAATTGGTGGAGGGCTTTTTTTGAAAAGACAAATGACACGTGATGATTAATTATGAAAGCATGCAGTTGAGGAGGTGCCCCAGATTACTAAGAATTAGTAATGTAGACCTTCTCCAAGTGAGAATATAAGAAGTCGGCAGTCTGCAATCAGAAGAGGGCCCTCAGGGAGCACACAGTTGGTCATAATGGCCAAAGAAGAAATGAATAAAGACCTGCCAGCAGAAATTCATGAGTATTTATCAGCATTTCAGAATTCCATTGGTCCTGTGGATGACATGCTGGCAACCATGATGTCTATTTCTGGAAATGAGCTGTTGCAGAAGTTGGATCCACTTGAACAAGCAAAAGAAGATTTAGTTTCTGCTTCCACGCTAAATTCAATGTTTTGGGTTTGTTTGGCACCTCCTGGGGTTAATCCCAAGGAACATCCGGTAAAGCAGGAATTGGAAAGAATAAGAGTATACATGAATAGAGTCAAGGAAATAACAGACAAGGGGAAGGCTGCCAAGCTGGACAGATGTGCAGCTTCCAGATTTATAAAAAATGCCTGCTGGGTACCAAAACCTAAAAATGAATCCAAAGTTGCCAGTAAAGGAAAAAGTAAAAAATAACCTTTTGGTTTTGATGTACACATGTTCAAAAAGTACATCATTTTTATTTTTTGCACAAAATAGATGATTATGTGGCAATGCATGGTTTAAATGTATTTCTTCTTGAATTCATATAATATTTACATTTAAATTTCTAATGCTAAATATATTTTCCCCCAGAAAACAAACAAACAAAAAACTAGGCCATGTAATTTAATGAGATGTTTCTTTGTTTTATTGAGGAAAGACCTAGGTGAGTCAGGGGACACTGATCCTATAACCAAGCAATTTTAGAGTCAGCAGACACCTTTGATCTTTTCTTCTAAACCTCTCTTCTAATCCTATAGCACATTATGTCTCTTTCTACAGTTATATTTCCATATCTATTCATACCAAATGTAAGCATTGCATTTGCCTTTTAATTCCTTAGCATATTTCATAAACCTGGGTAATGCAATTTTGCTTAAAATCAAGTTATAGATGGTTTCATCTTTAGCCCACATCTTCCATGACCTCAATTACTGTATTAAAATATTGTTAGCAAATTAACAATAAATAATAGCATTTATTACATGAGATCAAGTTCACTTTACAAGTAATTTACATATTGTCACAATGACTCTGTGCCAATTGCCTATGATTTTGACATTGTTTGTGGGAGAGTGGCCAGCACTAATGCACAGGATCGAGACAATTTATTATGACACGCTCTCTCTATGCAATTGAAGGAATTAGTGCAATAGAGCAGAAGTCAGTGCACATAATCAGTGTGGCTCTACCTGCTGACTTCTGAAGCAGAAAGTGTGCAGTACCGACTGAGCTCAGGGATACAAGAAGAAATAAAGATGGCTTTCTAAGCAAGAATTTGAACCAATCTCATGTGTCATCTTTTACCTCCATGCATCTTCCTTAATTGTGTCTCTCTATGCAATGCTTTGGGTAGTGTATGGCCAAGCGCAAAGGTGTTGAGCAGGATTGCCTGGGTTCAAATTCTGGCTCTCTATATTTTATCAGTGTGGCCTGGGCAACTCATTTAGCCATTATATGCCCAAATTTCCTCACATATAAAATGGAACTAGTCATTTGTGGGACGAAGTTAAAAGAGCCATCAAGCAGCTGGTTCCACAACCATCAAATCTCACAGAACTGGACAGTGCTATTCATCAGGCATGGTGTCAGATTCCTCGCATCACCTTTCAACATCTCGTGGAGTCAATGCCAAGAAGAATCGCCGTAGTATTGAAGGCAAAAGGTGGCCCAACGAAGTACTCCTGAGGTGGTCATAATAATCTGGCCACTCTGTGTGTGTGTGTGTGTGTGTGTGTGTGTGTGTGTGTGTTTGTGTATCCCATGTTCAAAGGCTTTTAAATCGCATTGTTCACCCATATCTTCAGAAAAAAATCGCTTCTACTGTCATAGTAAACAACCTGCTTCCCTATTTATAATGGCCTGGCCCTCTAGCAACTTCAGTGCGAAATTATAGCTAATTTGCCTACAAACATCAGGTGGCCATAATAATGTGGCCACTCAGTGTATGTTGGTTATAAAGTTGCACATTAGAGATAAGTGTACATTCAATACATATAATTTCTGAAGTAGTTCATTCTTTTCTAATAGAGTTAGCAAAAGAGAACTTTTCAAAATAGTAGTACTCAGGTGGTCTGGAGGCTTGAGAATTCCTGTCTTTTGCCCTCTCCCTTGTCATTGCCTCTCAGCCCATCTGGTAGTTGCTCAGGGCTTCTCCATTGAGAACCACTGGCAAACATGAACTGATTTCAGTCTTTCCATGTGTAGGTAAGCGAGAGTATTGTTTCTGTACATTCAAGTCCCAGAATGGCCTCAGAGATTTCCACATTCAAGAACCCATAAATGTCTTTTTTTTTCTTGCTGTACTTCTCATGATAGCAGAAGCAAAACGCAGTGGTTCTCAGAAGCAGTGGTTCTCTAGATGTGGTCCTGGGATTAGCAGCAGCAAGGGTAGCATCTGGGAAGTTGTTAGAAATGCAAATTCTCGGCCCCACCCCATACTTACTGCATTAGAAGCTTTGCTGGAGGAGCCCAGCAACCATGTTTTTTAACAAGCCCTGCCAATGCATCTGCTGCATGCTGAAGTTTAAGAACCGCTGCTCAATCTATGAGTCTGTCTCTATTTTGCTTGATTGAACAGTGGTTCTTAAACTTTAACATGCGGTCAGATAACTCTGGTGTGTGGGAGACGGAGGGTTGGAGGAATTGAGCAAAAAAGAAAAAAAAGTAGCCCAGCAACCATGTTTTTTAACAAGCCCTGCCAATGCATCTGCTGCATGCTGAAGTTTAAGAACCGCTGCTCAATCTATGAGTCTGTCTCTATTTTGCTTGATTGAACAGTGGTTCTTAAACTTTAACATGCGGTCAGATAACTCTGGTGTGTTGGAGACGGAGGGTTGGAGGAATTGAGCAAAAAAGAAAAAAAAAGTGATAATTCATGGACATGAACAACAGTGTGGTGATTGCAGGGGCAGGGGAGTAGGGTGGGTGGAGGTGGAAGAGGGTGTAGAGGGGATAAAAGGTGATGGGAAAAATAAAGTAAATAGAACCACTGCTGAAAAGGGTCATGATTCTCCAGTAGGACATCAGCAACAGCTACTGCAAAAAGGGTGAAGAAAGGCTGAGCAGCCATCACCATAATAAACTATCACAGAGTGGTAGGTCTGTACCAGGCGCAGTATTGCTTTCAGATGTATTAGGTTATTTAATTTTGACCACTATCTCTTAAAAAGATGGTATTAGCTCAGTGTTGCCAGGGGAGGAAACTGAGGCACAAATCTTTACCCATGGGCACTGAACAGTTAAATCATAGAGCTAGAAATAAAACTCTGGTCTAGCTGATCCCCAAACTCATGTTTCTTCCACTATTTGACTTGGCTGCCCAAACCTTTAAAAAGCACATCTTCATTCTTTGTGCTTAGTTTAAATTATTTCTATTTCAGGTACACATTCTTTCTCTGTTTTTTAAAATGCCATATATTTGTATATATCTGTATGTGAGTACTATAGCTAAATTCTGTACCTTGATAATGTAGGTTAGCTATTTCATTTCAGCAAACATTTGTTGAGGGCCTACTATGTGTCGGGTATTGTAAAGGCATATGCAGAGGTGCTCATGTTGGCATCCTTGACCTCAAAATGGTCAGTCAACCAACTTGCTGGATCTAAAATTATATGGAGAAAAATCAGGTTTAAAATATCCCAGATATTTAATTCAGATAGATCTTAAATACATGAGATCTATGATACTAAGATAATGAGACACTTCTTAATGGTTAATCATACTAGCTAATGTTGAGATTGACCAACATTGCTGACTAATTTTTATATTAGCTAGTTTAAGTAATAGTCTGAGGCAAGGGACAATGAGTAGCAAGTTTAGAATATAGAGTTGCATCCACATGTTTGTAACCACTCATTCTTTCCACAGAATTTACTGAGGGTTTACTTTGTGTCTCACACTTTACAAGATGCTGCATGTGATAAGAAAGAATGAAAAAATAGTCCCTGCTGCCAAGGAGCTAGCAAGGGACTTTGTCCTTTGACTTGCCCAGCTGTTATTAAGATCAGTCACTTGTTTTTAACATAAAATGTTCTATTTTGCCTACACTATTGTGATCATCGTCATATAAAAATGATTTGATTTCTCACTGACAGTTTTGAATTTCATTTAATATCCAGGGGTCTTAGCTCAGCCAACTTTAAAAAACACACAAATCTGTAGTCAAAGCATAAAGACAACTAATGTAACAAATGCTTGACTTTTACTTATTCTGCAAACTGAAGAGTGCTATGGGATGCAAAGATGAAAAAGAGTCCCCACACACCATGAAGTCACAGTCAGGCATGTAAACAAGATATTACAATGAAAAGAAATGCATACTATCTCAGGTGTATGTAAATAATTAATGTTCATAAGAACAGAGCAGTAGATCTGTGTGGTGAATTGCTTCATGGAGGCAGTGATAACAGAGAGGAGCCTTGAAGAATAATTAGATATTCTCTAAGTACCTACCAGGGAAGGACATTCTAAGCATAGGGAACAACATTTACAAAGGAATGGGTACATGAACTTGACATTAGGAAAACCTTGGTTAGAGTTTGGATGTATTTAAGGGAAAGGATAAATACTTTAGGGAAAAGAAAAGTTTTAAATACCATGTTTGGGAACTTGGAACTCATTTGATGGGCAACAAGACCCACTGTAGGATGTTAAGCAAGGCCAGATGATCCTTAAACAAGAGAATTAGAAGTTCTGTGTGGCTGCAGTGTGAAGAATGAGCAGAATTATTCCAGAGTTAGAGTGATATTGAGGACTAGACAAAGAAAGACTTGGGAATATACTTGGCAGGAATTAGTAATTGAATGTGTAAGGTAAAGAACATTCAGCAGAATGTACAAATCAGCTTTACTTTTTAAATATTTGTTAGTCTGTGTTTGGCTTCTGTTAAAAATCTATACTGTTTGCACTATTGTGAGTATAACAAAGACCAAGTGGCCTGTTGCCCCTTTCAAAGCAAGAGCTTACAAAGTAGAGGCTTACTTTCCACAAGAGTTTCAAAAAGCCTGTTTACAACTTGGACTTTGAGGCTGAGTCTATAATATTGCCCAGAGCCACCATTTCCACAGTGATGGTGAAGCAAGCAAACACCAAATGATTAATCCAATTCTCAAGGCTTACTGCTCATACACCCTAAGTGCTCAGCTACTGCCAGAGTGGAGGCAGAAACAACACCCAAATCAACTCCATTTCTGATGGCATCTAGATATGGCTCTGGATGTTAAATCATCCCTGATTCCACCCTACCCCACTCCCATTATATATAAACACCCAAATCAACTCCATTTCTGATGGCATCTAGATATGGCTCTGGATCCCTGATTCCACCCTACCCCACTCCCATTATATGTTTTCTCCTACTCTAATCTCTTGAAATTCTTTACTGCCAACTCTCTTGTCATTTCTACCACAGTTTCTATATATGTCTAGATTGTAAACTCCAAGAAGGCATGATCTTTGTCATTGTCATTTTTC